TGCTAAGAATGAGTTTCTGAGGTGCCTCATTCTGCACAGAACGGCTGAAACTACGGAAATATTCCTCGATACGGATTTCAGCTGTTGAGCAGATCCTGCACGTCCCAGGGCTGAGCAAAGCACCCAAGAAGCCACCAAGTCACAAACATCACACCACTACGGTCCTCAACGCCTGACAGCAACAAGGTGAGGCTCACTGCAAAAAACCCCACAAACAAACAAAAAAAGAGCTTTTTATATCCTTGCTTTTCTTAATCCTAAAGGAAACATGCCCAGTATTTGCAGTCCCACCTGTGTGATGATCCACAGTCCGAGGCAGCTCGAGGCACGACTCTGCTCTCAGCCAAACTTCAGGAAACCAAACACAAAAAGGGCCTTCTGCCATGAGCTGTTCCCACCGGCTCTTCCAGCACCAGCAGCTCCCCCTTGGCAAGGCCTTGCCCAGTTTCTCCAGCTTAAACCAGCAAAACAAAGCAGCTTAGGCCCAGCACACGAAAGGCACCGAGCTTTGGGTTTCAGATTCTCCCCTGCACCCCCTATCCCAGAATTCCTTATGCTGGAAAGGACCTCCAAGAGCATCAAGTCCAACCATTAACACAACACAGCCGGTTCCAGCACCACACCCTGTCCCCAGGCAACAACTCCACCTGTTCTTTAGGGAAGGGGGTAAAACGAGGAAAGACCAACCACAACACCCACAGGTGAGTGAAATCCTGCAGAAGACAAACTGTGCTCTGCAGAACCTCCCTCAGATCAGCTCACAATCTTGACCTTGAACCATTATCCCCTCAAAGCCGACGATACCTGATTGATCACGTATTTTAGACTCCTTAGAAACAGATCTGAAGCCTCCCCTCCTTGATCAGCTGGTACATGAGTCTTGACACCAGTTTTATGCACTTAAAACATCTTAAAGGTTGAAGTGCTTTTAGAGAACCATCTTCAAGCAGAGCTTCTTCTCCTGGAGCACCCTCTTCAAACATCTTGCTCCTCCTTGCCTTTGTTGGGCTCGATGATCCTTGTGGGTCCCTTCCAGCTCGGCACATTCTGTCATTCTGTGATTCTCCAGCCCCCTCTGTGCTCCCAACCCAAGTGGGATGAAGAGTCTGAGGCTCCACAACACTGCCAGTGGGAGCAGTGAGGGTTAACCACCCTCAGAAGACGTGCGTGCCTGAAATAATGATGTAAGGCCTGTCTGTTGGATAAATCCCGGTGTTCCTGTGTGTGGGAATGCTGAAAATCTGCCCTATGACTGCTTAAAATGTTTCTAACAACCCTTGAAAGCTCTTGCAAACATCCAGTTAACAAGAGCCCTGGTAACCAAAGACTTAATTTGGGAGTATTAAGAACTAATATTGAACTGATGTTAAAACTGATGCCCAAACTCCTTGTCCCTGAAGGAGGGAACAGAGAGAACCTCTGCAAGAAAATTTAACTTTCCAAGGAGGCTGAAACACAAGGAAGCAGCTGTTTTTCCCAGCAGAGGAGAGTGGGAAGCAGAGCCCAGGATGTGACACAAAAAGGAGGAGTAAAAAAGGCATCATCAGCCAAGCAGGTGAGCTCCATATTCTCCTGCCAAAACTCACTTAGTTTTGGGGCATAAGCAAAGTGCTCTCACTTTCTGCATTTCAATATAAAATCAATTCTGCCTGTGCATAAAATGAGCCCTGGCAAAGAATCCCAGAGTGGGTTGGGAGGGACCTTAAAGCTCATCCCATCCCACCCCTGCCACGGGCAGGGACACCTCCCACCAGCCCAGTCCAACCTTGATACTGGTATTAACCCCACCCAGGTGTATTTTACCCTGCCCTGGATGTTTTAAAGTCCACTTGTGGAGAGCAGCCACGCAAGGCAGGAGCAGAGTCAGAGTGGAGAGGAACAAGAAATATTGGGCAATTTAATTTATCCTCCTGTGCAGGACACGGCTCTTGGAGAGAGGGAATGGGCTGTGGCCACACACACACACTCAGCCTCAGCCCAGGCAGCCTGGCTGTGCTTTATGACTGAGTTATAAACCCTTGAAAAACAGCTTTTATAAATGAAAATGCTGACACAGTGTTCAGTGTAGTGACAGCAGTGGCATTGGTTTAAATTGAACTTGCTTTGTCAAGCCGAGAGCACTTAAATAAAAACATCGAAGAACCTCATGGAAACACACCAACTATTTGTGAGGAAACACTTCCAAACAGCTTTACAGAGCCTGTGTTGAGTTTCATGCACTTCCAGAAAAATCCTGAGGGAAGAAATGCACACTCAAAGAAAGGAAGCAGTGATAATGGAGATAATAATAATATTACACGTATTATCACATCATATATATGATATATATGATATATAATAATAATAAAGCTGGTAGCATTTCTTCTTCTATTTTAGTTTAATTTTTTACTTTTTTATTTATAAAGGGAAGACTGGGCACCCTCAGACACTTCTTACTTCAAGGGGAATGTGACTGTTCCCCATCTCCCAAAGCTCAGGCAGGACTCACATTTAATACTTTCCACACTCTCCTAACAAGTTTTTTGGGGGCAGTTTCCTTAACCTTCACAACAACAGCTGCACTTCCCATTACCCAAAGCTTTGCAGCCAAGAAACTCGAGGTGCTTCAAAGGCTCAGAAGAATCTTAAAGAAAATGAGAAGATTTACTGCTGATTTCGTATTCTCATACTCCAGCACGAGTCATTTGTGCTGACTTGATCCCACCAGCCATTCCTTTTGAATTCCCATGCTCCCACTGTGCTAACACCGAGTTGCAGGGTTGAGTATCACCCTCCTGAGTGGAGATGATTTGAAATCCTCCAGCAAACAGCGGCTTCCCTTTCTAACAGCTCCATCAGCCCCAGCCCGGGTGTCCCCACTCCCAATCCCCGTGTCAATACAGTGTCACTTTAATGACAGTGACCTTGTGTGGCTCTCTGAGCACCTTCTTCACCTTTGTGAAGACGTTTTTTCTGAGCCTCTGTCCTTGCTTTCATCATTTAACACATCACTCAAAGCACTTCCAGACAGCAGCGGCCGTGCCGGGAGAGGGCTCGGAGGAGCAGATGACACACCAATTAACAGGCCCAAATTGCTTTCTGGACATCTGATCCAGAAGACATTTATGGAAAGTCAGGGAGAAATACAGTTGAGAAGGTGTAAAACAGGAGAGGAAATGCAAATGCAATGGGATTTTCCTGACGTTGGCAAAATTCATCCCATGAATGGAATTAATCCCCAGCCAGGTTATCTACAAATAACCCTGAACTGAACTCCAGATGACTTGGTCCACCTGGTGGATCACTGAATTGCTGCTGCACATCAAAATACTTCTTTTATTCAGCAAAGGAACTAGGAAATGCTCACACAGAAAAGTCCTATATTTATATCCCCACAAATGAGGAAGAACACCACAATTAGTTGTTCATGTCAGACACTTTTAGACCTCCATGTAAAACAATTTTAGCCCTTTTTTGGCTAAATTAATTTACAGAGTGTGTGCCTGCGCTCTGCCTCTCTCCCAAAACCATGAGTGAGGGCTCTCCAGCATCACAAACCAGGAAAATTTGCAGTAAAACAAATGAAGAGACCTGTCTCCCCTGTGACAAGTTAAAGTGTGTCATTGCTAGAGTTGGCTCCAGTCAGAGCCTGGGAAAGATTTACAACACCTGAATGCAATGATTCAGCATTAACCACCTTCATTTTGGTTAAAAGGGGTTTGGCAAGGAATTTACTGCTGGAAAACGTAACAATAGTTAATTTTTGGGGCTACAAAAGGCGAAATCTTAAGCTTATTTAACTTCTACCTCATCTCCTGCTAAAAAAAAAAATCAATTGCACTTCACCCAAAGGTATACTCAGCTTTACCTTAATGACAATTATATTACATTATTCCAGAAGAGAAGGGAAGGGCACTCACATTTGCTGGTTAATCATAAATGCCTCTGTCAGGCTGGGCAAGAAAAATGGTGCAAGTCATCCATGGTTTGAAGGAATGTCCTTAAAGGATGAAACAAGTGCTTCAAGCAGGGGGAATTTCCCTCATGGGACTGTCCTTGAGCTGCAGAACTCTTCTGAGGGCTTGCTGCTCGAGGCTCCAGGGGGTTCCAGCTGGTTTGTGGCCACTCAAAGGCAGAACAGAGGGGCTACGTGACCTCCTGTCACCACCAGACCAGAGCCACCAGTCCCTTCTCCCAGTCCAGTTTACACCAGATCTCATTTTACTGATCACAGCACAGGTCTTTCTCCTCAAGTTACACCCTCTGCATTATCCTTCCTACAAACAATAATCTGTTTATACAAAAATTTACGTTTTAAAACACCTCAAGCTGAAAAAAACCCACCTTTTTCCTGAATCAAAACCGACCTTGCTCTGCCCAAACCTGCACCAAGTGTGGATGGCTGCACTGAGAATCCCAGACTGGTTTGGATTGGGAGGCACCTTTAAATATCGTCTCTTTCCAACCCCCCTCAAACAGCACAATTTACAGCCACATTCCCTTCGAACGGCTTCATTTTCATAGATTTTTTTTTCTCCAGCTGGAAGCTCTGCTTGTGAGAAATCTTTCTAAAAGCCCTTGTGGACACTTAAATCCAAACACTTTATTTAATCACACAGGGTAGAGGCTCAAACCCTCCTGCAAATATTTCTGCCAAGATTTTGCAAGGCCATTAACCAGCTCCGAATTCCAATCTGCAAAACGCTGCTTTAACCCGAATAATCACCCACTCTGGCCTGGCCTGTGAAGATGCAGCACAGAAATAGCACCATTTCCAGTCCCTGAGGTGCTGAGAGGATGCAGAGGCATCTCTGCATCAGGCCCTACTTCCTGCTCTTTATTTGGGAGTTTTAGTGGAGGGTTTAAGAGCTCAAAAGAACAAATCCATTCTAAATACAGCCCAAATTCAGCGAGGGTTAAGAGCACATAAATATACAAAGTACAGGCAAAGGTTCCATTAAAATATTTCAGTGTTAATGTGATTCTCAAGACATGCATGTGGCAATGAGACACTGTCATACCTCCATGAAGGAAATCCCCAGGCTCCAAACATCCGAGTGAATTCCGTACTGCTCCCCTGAAATCCGCTCGGGCTGCAAAGAGATGGAAGGAAAGCCCTTCTTGAGCCTTGCAAACAAAGAGAATGTTGCACAAAATCCAGTCCAGGGCAAGCAAATCCATTGGAAATAAAAAAAAAAAAATCACAGAGTCGTGGAATATCCTGAGTTGGAAGGGACTCACAAGGATCACAGAGTCCAAGAGGACACCCCAACCTTGTCCCTCAGAGCGTTGTCCAAACACTCCTTGGGCTCTGGGGGCTGTGCCCACTGCCCTGGGGAGCCTGTCCAGTGCCAACCACCCTCTGGGGGAAGAACCTTGTCCTGAGATCCCACCTGAGCCTGCCCTGGCACAGCTCCAGCCATTCCCTGGGGGCTGTCCCTGCTCACACAGAGCAGAGGTTGGAGCTGCCCCTCCTGTGAAAGTCGGAGGGTTCAGCTGTAGCACCAAAAACTACCAAGAAGTCACCAAAAACCTCCCCCAGCAAACCTCCCAGAGAGCAAACCCACTCCTCAGGAAAACCTGTGTCCATCCACTGCTCTGCACCTTGCCAGGTCAGCCTTGGCATTTGTGTTTGGACCTTTTCATCCACGGAAAAAAGCCAAGGAATGCAAGGTGAAGTTGAGAGAATCCCACGGTTTGTCCATCCATCCCAAAGCCCAGGCACCACAGCAAGGGAAACCCTCCTCATGTGGAGCCAAGGGGTTGGGGAACAACTACTTTTGAAACCCCTTGGTTTCAGAAGCCAAGCTTTTGAAGCCCAAAGAACCACCCAAGTCACACGTGGGCAGTGCTATTTTAGACACTTCTTAATTTTGGTTTTGACCTGCAGGAAAAAAAAACCACAAAACAAAACACCAAAGACCTCGCTCCAAACTATTAACAGCAGGTTTAATGCCTCATGAAATAGAAGGCTGTAAAATATAACTGCTGGTTTTGACTTGAGAGCTACAATTTCAGCATTTCCAAGGTCAAGTACAGCATGAAATGTGACAATAAAAGGCTCCCCGAGACTCCTCTCCCCACTGTGCTGTTAATGCACCTGCCTAACCCAGCCACCTACAAAGCACTGCCTGTATTTTTAGCCTTTAATAATCCAGAGAGCTTTTTTTAGCAAAACAAACTCCCAAATTAGTGCCAGTCCAATGTGTTTGGGGATGTTGACTCAGAGCTGCTAATCCCAGGTCAGGAGCTTTTATCGCGGCGTTGAATGTTAAGTAAAAACCACCCGTAAGGAAAACCCTCCCCCAGCTGCTAAACCCAAAAAACACCCCAGCATTCCACTGCAACAACATCCCTTTGTCCAAATCTCACTTATAAGTGACAAAAAAAATCTTATTTTTTTAAAGTTTTTAAGCAAAATTAGCCCAGGTCAACATAGCTCGGAAAGGTTTAAAATGGGCATCATAGGAATTAGATTTTTAAGCATCATTTTGTACTAAATATCCTCATAAAGATACAGTTTTGTAGCCAAAAAAATGTCCAGAGACAGATATATCTGCTTTTGGTATGGACTAAGCTGGGCCACCCACTCAATTTTTTTTAGACCTTTCCTGAGCCACCAAATCAGATTTAAAATCCACACTGGGCAATATTAAACAGTTTATAATTCCTTTGTAACAGCTCGAGTTTAAACAGCAACTTCTCTGGAGGAATGATGGATTCCCAGATGAAAAGGGCAAGCAAATCAGTGGCACATTTAAACAAAGAGTATGGAAAAGAAGAGGAAAATAGGGATAACATGCATAAAGCAAAGGGTGTGACCCAGGGAATGGTCCTATGAATACACAGCCCGAAGGATTTTCTCTTAAAAACTGGTTATTTTTTTCATCCAAGCTTTTTTTTCTAGACAAAGCAGTGACAAAATGATTTCACAGAAATTGTATTTTGGTGGGAAATTTTAATTTCTCAATCAAGAACCTTTTTTTTCCTTTTTTTTTTGCCTGGTTATTTCAAACCAAACCTCACCTTTTTTAACAAATTCACTGACAGTCTGCCAAGTAGGTGAACCAAAGCTGAGGACCTCCATCAGTTTTGGACCACCTGACTATAAATTTGATGACACCAAACGACTCAATCAGGAAGCCAAACCCCAGCAGATCAGATCAAACACATTTTAGCCTTAACTTCTCCCTTACAATTAACAGCTGAAGGCATCCCATTCATCCATAAGCAAAGAAGGCAAAAAAAAGCAATTTATTTAATGTACACCTGGGAAAGAGAACTGTAATCTTGGTTTGTACACTAAAAGCATAATACAATTTAATTCTCAGACCTGCTTAAGACCAGCCTAAAGTAACAGCTGAGTTGGAAAAGTTGATTAATTTGAAGCTGTTTCTTTGTCTGAATCTTTACGTTCTGGTTCTTTTTTATGCCTTTTCTTTCTTAACCCGTTTTTCTGATGACACAGGACAGCCCAAGTCTTTCTAGGATGGTGACATGAGCGTTTCAGAAGCCACATAATGAGTATACCTTGAGTAGAAAAGCACTTAGCAAATAAATGGGCACCTGGTGCCGCTTTCTTCTTACAAGAAAGTCAGAAAAAAATACCTGCAAGCGATTAAAGGTCACGGATTTCTCTCTCCTCTTTTCTGAGGTTTGAAAAAACACAAGCACCGACCACTTTGTACCGTTTGTAATTTTTTTTTTTTTTGAACAAGCAGAACACTGATTTTTATTTTTTTTTCCATCGTTAATATTATGGCATTAGCGGTTTGCTCAAGGAATTTCAACGGCTAAAAAATAAGACAGGTTAACAGAGTGCTTTAAACTGAAGCAGTGACGTTTTCACATCTTAGATGGGGAATTAAAATTAATCAAATCCACACCAGTTGGTGTGGTTTCCTTTCACCCTGGTCCTTGTCCCTGTGTTAATCTCCCTGACAGGAGAACCTCAGGCCAGCTGGCAAGTTTAAAACCAGATCTTTCACCCTCTGCCTTCCCCCAAATGATGTATCTTCAGCCATGTCCTCCTGTGATCTGAAAATGCTGGGAATTTCTGCTTTAATGTACAGAAATAAAGCAGAATTGGCCTCCTGTTCACAAAAACTGTGACCAAAATTTACAATAAGAAGTGAAAACACCGATGACTCACTCCTGTGATCTGAACACTCCACAACACGCAATTTAATGCCCTGATATTATTAATCCTAATGATTTCAGCTTCACATTCCCATGGGAAACCTCCCTCCATCTCCCACCACAGGGTGTTCAGGTACCCAAAACCTCTGCACAGGTTCAAATGCTTGGCTGAACTCCAGGCTGGGAGCAGCATTCCCAAAACGTGGATAGCTTGTGGATGTGCAAAGAGCCACGAGCTACGAGTGGAAAGCTGTTTTCTGATCATCCAACTGGCTCTTCCCTTTGTTCCCAGTTGTTCCAAGGCAGTTAAATCAGCTAAAAACACACAAAAAAGAAACCCTTCTCCCAATATTTCTCTTCCCTACTGGGCAAAGGATGGAGCTGTCACCCAAAATGAGGACACTGGGACGGGGAGAGATGGATTTGGGGGATTGATTGGGAATATATCCTGTGTTACACAGAGAGCAAACCCTTCCCTTTAAATGTTATTCCTGCAGAAATCCACTTACCGCCATGTAAGCATTTGTTCCAACATACGTCTTGGCTATAGAATTCACCAGCTATCAGACAAAACAGGCTGTTAGAACAATATAAAGATAATGTGGAAATAAAATGGGCAATTATTCCTCATTTAACCTACAATCATCATTCCTATAAATCAACGAAAAATTATGTAAAAGGGAACAAATTTATCTGCCAAGGCATTAAAAATGATTAAATCTCGCCTTGGTTGGGAATGAGGATTCCAATTTAAACAAGCACTGCATTACAGTTTATGGCAGATAACCTTAAACAATTCTGTTAAACAGGATGCTTATGGCTTTAGTACCCCAAACTAGTCTGATATAAAAAGTCAATTTGAAGTAGGATTGAGCACACTCATTTTTCAGTCAGCTGGCTCAAGATGTGAATAAAGCCACAATTCATCACTTGAATGCAACCAGCACTAAATACGCTGGAGGGACAACAGCCCCTGACAACCCATAATACAAGGCTGACCTTCTCTTTGGTCCCTGTGTTTGGCTGAGAGGAAAGGTGCTGAAATTCAAATCAACATCCCAGCAAGCTCATGGGTCACTAGCAGAGAAGTTCTCCAGGGAGGCCCAAAATGGAAATTAATTAAAATTTGTGCTGCACATTGTAAAAGCCCACCACCATTGTTAGGCCCAATATTAATTTTTATTGTGGGCCAGTTGGGCTCCCCAGACACGGCCCTCGCTCTGCCCTCCCTTTTGTCTGGCCAAAAAGCTTTCAGATCAAAGCTGCATATCAATGAAGTTTGCTATTCGTAAGTAGTAATTACAATATCAGCAGTTTTTACTGTCATTAAACAATGAACAATCATATTCAGATGAAGCAAAAGTCGCCCAGAGATTCCAGCTGAATAGGGCTGTCCCAGCAGAGAGGAGCTCGTGGGGGCTGCCTGTCTGAGCCAGGTGATTTGGAGACTGCAAAGGCAGCGGGGACAGATCCAAAGGGGGAATTACCTGAGTGCTGACCCCGAAGTCACAGAGCTTCACCTGGCCCCGGGTGTTCACCAGCATATTGGAGGGCTTCACATCTGGGGGGGGGGGGACAAAACTGCATTATCTCCATGATCCTACATAATAAACATATCATATCAAACCATCACAGAATGTTACAGCCTAAAATACATCCCAGAACTGCATCTCCTCGCTCTGAAGGGACCCCACAAGGATCACTGAAATCCAGCTGCCATCCTGACCCTGCACAGGACAGCCCCAAATACACAGGAGAGCATCAGGAAGATTGGCATGGCAGATTTTTAACAGGAAATATTACAAATGGGTATTTCAAGTGCAAATTTCAAACCCTTGGTTCCTAAGTCGGCAGCACAGATGACATTTTATATGGATTTATATATATATAAAGATATATATTATACATCATCTCTAGAAATATATAAATTATACATCATCTCTACATAGATGATATCACATGGTGTGACACAGATGACATTATGCATCACTGTTATTAAATCTGCAGGTGGCACCAAGGGGGAAGAGGTGACAAGAGCATTGAAGGGCAGCACCTAAAATTCACAGGGATTCTGACCAGCTGGAAAATCAGCCTGGAAAAAGAAGATGGAATTCCACAGGGATAACATTTAGACAGGGATTGATCCCACACCTCTGCCCTGTGCACACTGGCTTCCACCTCTGGGGCTTTTATGGCACAAAAAGGCTCCAATCTCGGGGTTTCAGAGTTTTTTCAGGGGTAAACTGCCAGCAAAGCCTTCAAATGATGAACTAACCCTGTTGCAGCAGACAAACCATCAATGTGCATCATAAAACCAGACTGGCAGTGCAAAGATCTTAATGCTGAGCCCCTCTGATGCCAAAAGAAGTTGCTCCATTTCTGCTTCCAACTGTAAAATCAACATTGAGCATCTTTCCTGTTCCTGGGATGCCAGTTGGGAAGCAGAATGTGCATGTTATGGCCTGGCTTAAACTTGGGAAGATTAGAGCACAGTGGCTTTGCCTAATCACTGCTTTCTTCTGTCAAAATGGATTAAAAGCAATAGCTTGTACTTGTGCCTTCTTTAAAAGTGAGCACTCGTTGGGTGCAGATGGATGAAACCCAACTAGAAAAGCACCTAATTTTGTTTATCATTAAGTTTGCTTTGGTTTAGCAGCTGTTTTCTGGTAGCACAGTAGCCTGTTTAATTTGTCTCTGTAATGCAGAAATGTATAACCTCAATTAAGGAGCTGATTAAAAGCTTTCTTATATTTGAGCTAAAAATCCACTTTTAAAAAGTACCTTATATACCTTAAGTAGATCTGTACATTCTAAGTGAGGGGGTACATGCTCTAATTTCTCCCTAAAAAAAAAAATCAGTCAGGAGCATCTCCATCATGTGACAACATCCAAACCCTCAGTTCACTCATCCCCATCTCCAGCTTTAGGAATTCCATCCATGTGCTGCATTTCTGATGGAGTTTTACCCCCTCTGGTGCTGAGTGACTTTGCTAAATCCAAGCAGACGTGCCGAGTACAATCAGCAGCTCTCCCCTGAATGCTGAGCAGAACATCAAGGTGCACAGTAATCCTGTTTAACCTCCTTTCTAAAAATATGGAGCCAGTGGAGCCACCTCGGCCCAGGGACCGTGTGGAGTGGGAAGGAACGGAGCGGCAGGGGCTGCTGCACCCACAGACACCCCGACACTGCTCCCCCACATCCAGCTGTTCACAGCACAGGCACTGGGAACAGTGGGGTTATAGCACAGTGTAAACACTAATTGCAACAAAAATTGTAACAAAAATAATTAATAACCGATTGGACAAGAGCCTGCAGTGAGAGGACACAGGGAATGGCTTCCCACTGCCAGAGGGCAGGGAGAGATGGGAGATTGGGAAGGAATTGCTGGCTGGGAGGGTGGGCAGGCCCTGGCACAGGTTGCCCAGAGAAGCTGTGGCTGCCCCTGGATCCCTGGGAGTGTCCAAGGCCAGGTTGGAGCAGCCTGGGACAGTGGAAGGTGTCCCTGCCCGTGGTAGGGGGTGGGATGGGATGAACTTCCAGGTCTCTTCCAACCCAAACCAGTCTGGGATTCTGCAATTCAAAGTTCTCCAAGTCCAGCCCATAAATCCCTGTCCTCCTGACACGACCCAGCAGAGGAAACCACCAGGGCACATCTGTCCCCTGTGCCCCCAGGCCTGCCCAGCTCCCACCTCAGGGCATCTGAAGACCCCATCTCCCTTCCCTGCTCCTGCAGGGATGTGGCAGGAAGCTGATACAACTGAATAAACACCTGTCACTCATTAAGCTTTGCTTGATCCTGAAATCCTTTTCACAAACAAAGCTCAAAAGAAAAGAAAATCCTAGAAGAAAACAAAACAAAACAAAAAAAAAGATGAGCAGTTGGCCTCTTAAAGGATGGGAAGACTCCAGAGTCCAGGGATCACACAGAGCAAAACAGCCAAATGAGCTCTGTGAGAGCAAACCCAACCTGTCCTGCCAGCAGAAATTAAATTTAACCAAATATTTGCTATGAATCCCCATGGTTTCCTCAAAAAAAGAAAAGGAAGTGACAAAATATCTCATGTTGAAAGTGAGGAGAAAAAAAAAAAATCACCTAATCAGCAAATTAGCCTTTGGTTTCATAAACCACTTCAGTTAATGGGTTAAATATTTTTGGGGTTTGGGAAACAAATGTGCATAAATAATGTTCTGCACCATCTGCTTGTGATTAATATTAGTGTTTGGAAGTGAAAGAATTTAAACAAGAGCCAAAAGGGGTCATTATGCTCCCATTACCAGGGCTTGCTTAATACAAATGATTTCTATGAAGCATCATTATAGAGGATGAACAAGTTCTCCTCCTGATGGAGCTGCCTAAGTAGTTTCACCTCTCTGCAAATAAAAGGGACCTCCAAGCTCTTACTTACCAGTAAACAGAACTGTCAGAGGTTCAGCTTTTTCAACACCAAACATTTCACTCATTTGTGTTGTTGAAAAGCAAACAGACACATGATTGTGTGGGGAGAAAAACAAAACAACCAACAAACAACCCTGAGATTGTTTAAAAGCTGTCTCTTGACTTTTCCTGTCTTTTAAAAATAGAAAACCTCAACATGCCAAGTTCAAGGAAGACATCAGCACGGTTCTGCAGAGGCCAGGATTATTTTTTTTTAAATAAGCCTTAAGTGGTCCATGAGTGGCCATGCATGTGTTTAGCTGTACATACAGGCATAAATATTTGCATAGAATAGCAGAATCCTGGAATGGTTTGGGTTGGAAGGGATCTTAAAGCTCATTTTGTTCCCCCACTGCCCTGGGCAGGGACACCTTCCACTAGAGCAGGTTCATAATTTCATATACACACCCCTGGATTTGGGGCTGTGCCTCATTAAATGTGGCCCTAATGCTGATTATTTCTCACAGAGGTAAAAAAAACAAAGGGGAGAAGGAGACTCAAATATGGTGCTCTGGACATTCCTGGTGAAATCCTCAGCAAAGAGCAGCTACTGGGGAGAAGATGAGAACACCCCTGTCCACCCAGTACCCCCCAGCTCCAGCAGATTATGCCAGGACAAAGAGGATTGGCAGATCCTGGGTTTTTTTTAACATCCTGGGATAAAAAGAGTGATGCACAAACCTCCCTTTTGCCACAAACCAACCGACAGTCCAGGAGATCTCCAGACCCTCAGCCCTGCTCAACCCACCTCACAGATTACAGACCACTAAACAGTTCCAAAATTAGCACAAATTTAAAACCTAGTCCTACCCTATTATAAAATCTAACCAGAAGCCAAGGTGCTCCAACCATGCAATATATAAAAATATATATATTTATATATAAATATATATATACACACACCCCCAGTGCCCAAACAGCCACGCACACAAATCCAGATCAGTACAATTAAACACAAGTGGGTAACATTTATTTCATACCTTTCCTTCAATAAGAAGGTGTGAACAGAGGAAAACACAGCAGATAAAATGCACACGGTCTATACTTATTCTTGAACTTAACAGATTTTGGTTTGTCTTTATACAAACTTTGACTTTGTACATGATTAGACTTGTTTAATTGCTAATTCTGTTTTAAATCTAAGTTAATTTCTCATTACCCTTCCATTTCTACTTCTCATCCTCTGGGGAAAAGAGCACACTTATCATTGGGACATTCTCACATCTTCCAAAGAAGTGGTGGAGGTGTTAATCTCATGTTTATGTTTGATGTGGGTGTGATGGCTATGACTGCAGTTGTGTTTATTAATATGCACGGCTATCACCTCATTAGTTGCGAGGTTTGTTTTGAAGTGAAGCTGTAATATTTGCTGCAATGTCTGATCTGCAATAAAAGACTTGCTCATTGTTTGTTTGCTTTGCTTTAATCCCCCCCCTCCAGTCCCGGAGCTGCCTCGCTCAGCTTTGCTTCAGCCCTGCCTTAAAAACCACCGTGGAAATTTGGGATCCTGCATCCATGTCCTGCTCTGCTCTACCTGGGAAACCAAAAAATTCAGAGTTCAGCATCTCCTCCTTTACCCCTGAGCATTAAAACCAGGAGGCAGCCGAAGGAAATCATCTGGAGAAATAAACCCCTTCCCTGCACTGCATCTCCCTGCCCTCATCTTTAAGCACTCACCCCCTTTCTGTATCCTGGGAATGGGTAAATAACACTGGGAAGCAATCCTTGGGGGAATGCTGAACCTGGAATGCTCACTATCCCCTCAGTGCCGTCCTCACCTTGCTCAATGCAGCAACAGGGCAAGGCCAGAAAAATCTGAAGTGTGAGGAAAAAAACAGTTTCTGTGCTTTGCTTCAGACCAGAGCAAGGGGCAAACACAATCCATCAAAGCCCCAGAGCTGCTCCTCAATCAAGGCAAGGAAACCCAGGCAGGAGGGGAGAGTCTGTTCTACTGGCAAAGCAAAAATCAGAGCCAGGTTCCAGTTTCACAGCAGCACGACAGGGAAATGCTACAGTTATAATATTTATGCTCCACGACGTCCTCTCCAAATCACAATCAGAAGGTGGGCAGGAAGATTAAAGAGAAAAATTCCACATCTTCATTCTTTTTGGGTGTTAAAAGTGTGGCAATAACTGTGTAGCCTAACTCAGAGCCAGCCCCAGCCATGGATGTTCCTGGTACCTTTTGTCTCCTATTTATTCTGGAATTGCTGTGGCAGCTCCAGCAGCAGATTGTTCCTCCTCTCACTGAGAGGGGATGGAGCTGATCAATCTCTGCATCTGGCAACGTTCAGGGTAGTAGGGGGATTGTTTCAACCCTCACAGAAATGAAGCCTCCTTGGTAACCTGTGTCTGGTTGTGAACTCTGGGTTATTTCTGTTCTTTTAACCAAGTGACAACCCAGGGGCAGGTCCACCAGCAACCCCCTGATCTGGGGGACAAAAGGGGGACAGGGAATGGCCTTAAATTGTGCCAGGGGAGGCTCAGGTTGGATATTAGGAAAAAATTCTTGTGGAAAAGCACTGTCCAGCCTTGGAACAGGCTGCCCATGGAGGTGGTGGAGTCACCATTCCTGAGGGATTTAAAAGCCCTGTGCATGTGGCACTTGGGGACATGGGTCAGTGGTGGCCTTGGCCGTGCTGGGGAATGGTTGGACTCGATGTCCAGTGCCTTTTCCAACATAAATGATTCACAGCTTTACAAAAGCCAGGTCCTTAGCTGATCCCTACTCACTCTGTGACCACAGCCCTCCTTCTCCCACCCAGGACAGGCTGCACTCCCAAATTCAGAGCAATCCCCTGGGAAGGGGAAAGGAGGAACTGCAGCCAGGTCCTGACCCTGGGAGGGTGGGCAGAGGTTGCCCAGAGCAGCTGTGGCTGCCCCTGGATCCCTGGGAGTGTCCAAGGCCAGGTTGGAGCAAGCTGTGCTAGTGGAAGGTGTCCCTGCCCACAGCAGGGGTGGGATGGGATGAGCTTTAAGGTCCCTTCCAACCCAAACCATTCCACTGCTCACAGCAGGACACCTGACCCAGCCCATCAGCTCCTCAGCCCCTCCCAAAGCCCAGCAGGGCCGGTCTCACCTACCTGGTCTGGAATTTCCCATTCCCTCCCTGCCTCCCCTCCCACTTCTCCCTCAATCCCGAGTTCTGCACCCCCTGCCTGAGCACCCGGGCTGGGTGAGCAGATGGGGTAAATTAAACAGGATTGGTACAACATTAGCAACCAGAGCAGTTCCCTTCAGACACTTCAGAAACATTATAAATGTAATGAGTTTCTCCTTCTTCTATTTTTTTTTGGGGGGTGGTGCAGGGGGAAGTGGCTCCTTTGTTCTTTAAAGACTCTTTCCAGAACTGACCCTGATTTTGCAAGTTTTAGTACATGTGAGTGAATTTACCATTTTAACAAAATGTAACGAGATTAAAAAGCAAAAAAATAAAAGAGAAGTTTAAAAAACCAAACCAAACCAAAACAAATTAACTTCAGGAAGTAGAACAAACACCAAAACCCCAAAATGGTTTATGTCCAAGCAGGATTAAAGTTCCTTTAACTCTTGATGACCATTCTGAGGGACAGGGGGGGTCAGAATTTTAGAGATCTTGTGGCAGTCACATGAGATTCCTGAAGTACATTAAAAAAAATCTATCTTCTATTTTCAATACTAGTCAAACACCTGATTTTTCCACTGGGGAACTGTTTGTAACCCTAAGCCTCTAAATCTCCATAAATAAATTCATTTCTCTCTTCAGTCTTTTCCTTTGTAGGGGAGGAGGGAGGGCAATAAAGAGCAGTAAAAATATTTTACCAGGGAATGTGTGAGGTTAATGATTAAAATTCATTCTGCATCACAAACCAGATGTTAATATGGTCAAGTGTCTTTGTAGAAGATGTTATTAAAATGAATACTATAAGAATATTATTCTACATTAAATTTTCTATATATTTTTATATATTTGTAAAAGGTATCTTGCATATGTATTATACTTTATACAGTAGTATCAGAATACAATTTTTCATTGAAAACCAGCAAACATCTGTTACTCACCCCTGTGCAGAATCTTTAGACTCCATAAATAGGTCAGGCCTTTCACAACCTGAAATTAAAAGAGAAAAAAAACCAACAAACCATCAGGTATTAAGAGATTCCTGGTGAGAAAAACTGCACATCTCATGTAAGGAGAGACCCAACCTCTAATGAAGAACAGAGCCAGCACCAGGAAAAGGGGACACCAAACACACATCCCTGGCAAAGCATTCCAGGAGCAGGTGAATCTAAAAACCTGCTAAAAACCTGCCCTAGGTTCTTCCAGAACACACCAATTCTTCTTCCCAGGGTCTGTAAGTTGAAGCCAGTTGAGTTTCTACTGAATCCCTTCAGGCAATTCCGTGTATTTTGAGTTCCTGTGTCTTTGCTGGGGTGTTCAAAGTCAGGAAAGACAAAAAGGGTGTAATGATTGGTTTTCCTGCAATGGAAGCAACTCAGTGAAATTAAATCCCAGGGAACAATAAAATCTCCAATTCTCTTTTGCATTTCATCCTCTCTTCTTTTCCTTCCATTGGGTGCATCTTGCACCTTTTCCTTCCCTCTCCATGCTTTTAATTACTTGATGTAAATGCCAGGATATTTCTCCCTGAACTGTATAAATTCTCTCATTCTTCACATTACTCATCTTGGAACCAAACACAAACCTCATTCTCTCCCATCACCCCCAAAAAATACAACTGGGAGCCCTAAAAGAGAAGAACTGGGGCAGACCTCGCCCTGCTATTCCAGAATTTCCTCCTTCCACCACCAAAACTGCGAAAACCAAACTGAATAACCTGGGTTTGTTCCAGTGCAATGTTCAACAAACATTCCTGCCCCTGCTCTCCTTCCCCCAACCCAGCCCTGCCTTCTCAGCGAGAAAATCTATTTTATCCCCTTTCCATCTCTGAGGTGACATTTAATTCACTTCCCTGGGACCCTCCTCGTGCACCCCCAGAACAATTAAACCATTTCTGACACTGGTAAATTTGTCTGAGTTTTGCAGTCAAAACAATTCCATCCTTTTCACTGGCTGAGCAGGCCAAAATGAAGTTATTTGTGTTACAGAAGTGCTAAAAATATGATAGAGAGTGAAAGCAGAGAGCAGAGTAATTTCCTCCCTTCCTATTGGATTAGAAACTCTCTTAAAATTCATTCTGTAATTAAAAATGACATCAGTGGGATCAGAATCTCTTTTGTAAAGCAAATCACGATGGTGGATCCCAAATAAATTTGCTCCAGGTGGCAATTCCTCAGTTAAACTCAGCCAAAGCCAACCATCTCCTGGCCACAGGTGTGACCACGTTCACCTCAAGCCTTTCAAAAGGGTTGGACTTGGTCTTAAATGTCTTTTCCAACCTTAATGATTCTCTGATTCCATGACTCTGTGACAAGCAAAACATGGGAATTCCATTCACGCAGCATTTTGACAATATTATTATTAATAATAATATAAATAATAATAATTTAAAAATATTGATGCAAAAATAAATCAAGGAGATGAAACATTTTAGCCTTCCTCCAATGGCCAAGGTGATTTTCAGAATATTAAGTTCTTTGATTACTATAAATTTATTGAGACTATTGAAAAGCTTTAAAACCATTAGAAAATTATTTATTTCAAAGCAAGAAATCATAGGAAAAAAAAAGAAAAAATCAACAGCTGTGAGTTATTAAATATCTTTCTTATGGAACATGTGCTGGGTAAGACCTGGTATTAAACAAACTCTCCCTTCAGACTCTCTCAGCATCAGAGTATAAAGGAATAAAAGGAGTTTTTCCCTTTATCCTGGGCTGTAAATATACTCCCAGGAGCCCCCCAAATGGACTCACCTCGTGTACCACACAGTTATTCACTTCCCTTACATCTGCCTATTAGGGAAGGGCTCTCAAGTATTAAATATTATTCTAAAATGGTGCTGGGAGAGAGAATCTTTTGATGGAAGCTCTGGCAGGAATTATTGGTATTCAGTAAAGCAGGTTTTACAACAATGACTTGACAAAGCCTTGACACAAAAAGTACTTCCACCTGCTGTCAATCACTCACTCTCCTGACAGTTCAAGTGCACATCCTTTCAGGGAGAACTTCAATCAACATTAGCACTCAAAATACAGAGCACAATGTCACTGCCTCACAAATGGAGGGGAAAATAAATGTGTGAAGTGGCAAGCGAAGGGAGAAGGGATTTTTGGAGCCACCACCACACCACTCTGGGCTTCCCAAGGCACGTTTGCCCTCAGAAAACACACCAGGCCTTCACACAAATCGAGAACACGAGGAGGAAGAGAGATTTCCCCTTCTCACAGGCACAAAAAAACCCAGGAGGAATGTTATGATGAAGGCAGAGATCCCTCCAGCTCTCCCAAAGGAAAGGCTGGGGGAGTTGGGAATGGTCAGCCAGGAGAAGCTTCAGGGTGACCTAAGGGTGGCCTTCCAGGACCTGAAGGGGCATTCAGGAAAGATGGAGAGAGACAATTTCCAAGGGCCTGGAGTGACAGGACACAGGGAATGGTTTCCCAGTGCCAGAGGGCAGGGAGAGATGGGAGATTGGCAAGGAATTGCTGGCTGTGAGGGTGGGCAGGCCCTGGCACAGGTTGCCCAGAGAAGCTGTGGCTGCCCCTGGATCCCTGGGAGTGTCCAAGGCCAGGCTGGAGCAACCTGTGCTAGTGGGAGGTGTCCCTGCCCACGGGAGGTGGTTTGGAACTGGATGATCTCCATCCCAATCTCCCATCTCTCCCTGCCCTCTGGCAGTGGAAGCCATTCCCTGTGTCCTGTCCCTCCATCCCTTGTCCCCAGTCCCTCTCCAGCTCTCCTGGAGCCCCTTTAGGCCCTGCAAGGGACAATCAGGTCTCCCTGGAGCCTTCTCTTCTCCAGGTGAACCTCCCAGCTCTCCCAGCCTGGCTCCAGAGATCACCCAACCACTGCAACCCTCAGGTGGGAGCGAGAGGAGCTCGGGGGGTGCTGCTAAACATCAACATGGGCCTGCATCACATCCCTCTGGAAATGGTTTCACTTAAAACCTCCTACAAACATAACAGGAGGGTTTCCCAATTAGCAGATGTGCAGGTCACACGTGTTATCAAGCAGCTTCAGTAGATTAATGCACTGTACGTGCCTCGGGAGGATAAAAGACAAACCACTCTGTCCATGGTGCAAGAGAAAACACGCACTGGAAAAGAAAGAGACACTCTGGAAGCTCCAGGTTTTGTCCACAAAAATCCATCCAGCTTTTGTTTGACACCCCCATCCTCAGCAGTGAGCAGAAATCCTCCAGGCTCTGGCTAATCTTCCCAAGCTGTTCAGGGGGGGATTACGGTGTCTGTGTGCAGGACTTGGCAAAAAAGTGCCCCAACCCCCCAAAAAAATGGGCTCTGCTGAAACATCAGGTACCAACAGGCAGGTCTGGGAAGGTTTAAAGGAGCCACGGAGAGATCCTGGCAAAAACAAAGGCTTTGGCTGCCTCCTTCCAACAATTCCCCCGTGCCAGCTGAGGAGAATCCAGCACCGGAGCAGAGGAGCTGCCAGGGCTGGTTCGGCCTCAGCACACGCCTTCTGTTCTGGGGAGCAGGAGGAAGGGGTGAGTTCCTCCTCTGAAGCACCTGCTCCTTTGTTCCCCCCTTCCCTGACCCCCCTGCATGGGAAAACCAACAAATCAAACAACCAGCCCGAGTTAAAGCTCAGCTCAGTGCCCGTGTCAGGGAGCCAGGCTCACTAACTACCACCCTGCTAACGAGGTCACCCTGCAGGTGAGCAACAAAAACACAGAGAGGGAGACATTAAAGATGGGGCTGAAGCTGCACCGTTATGGAGAAGGGTAAAAAATTGGAAGAGAACACCTGTGGAATGCCAAGGATGGGGAGACAAAAACAGAAAGCAAGGAAATGATAAGGTGAGTTGGGGTGGATGTGTTAAACACACAACACCAGGTGAGAGAAGGAAACTAGGGAATAAGCAGCTGGAGGAATGCTTGAAGGCCCATCCCAGTATTATTAAACTTTCAGATGACACATATTCCTTGGCACCAGGGACATGAGGACACCGTGAGCAGCTTCTCCCTCGTGGGGAAGGAGAGATGAAACGTTTTCCCTCTGAACTGGAGGTGAAAAGCATTCAAATTCCAGGAGAAACTGCCAGGTATATAATGAGCAGATTTGAAGCTACTGAGAGGAACCAGCATCAGAGGAGGGTGTTCATCACCCTGGGCAGGCCACACAAATTAAGAGGAAAGGAGAGCTGTGAATTACAATGAACAGAGACTAAATAGCTGCCTGTGTTGGATTAAAGGATTTAAATTGTCAGGTTGATGTATAATGAATGTGAAAACCCAGCACTTAATTAAATGGCACATGATAGAATAACTTTGTTATGCTTTAAACTGCTTAAGTTATCAAAGTATTCCTTATATTTAGCAATTGTTTAGCAGTCTCTCTCTCCCCTGTGAGATCCACTGAGACATTGGTCATTCACCCTGTGCTCAGCTCTGCAAAATGATGAATTTTTTTTAATTTTGTTGTTGTTGTTGTTCTGTAATTTGAGTTTTCAGTCATGGCTGGTGAATTTTTAGCTGCTGAGCCACAGGGATGGGCTAACCAGGTGCTTTAAGGATCAACACCTCGAGGCCAAACTGAGCAGATATTGGGGACTGGGAATTCTTCCTGGATCCCAAACCATCTCCCTGCTCATCTGCCCTAAAATGACTCCTATTAGCTCTTCATCCAGAAGATGAAGAGGTGAGAGAACAGCCTGTCCCCAGGCCTGGCTTGGGCCAAATAAAAACCTCACCCTCCTCATTTGGCACAGGAGAACACAGAAAACACGTCCTGCCCTTGCATTTTGGTAACAGGAACCAACTTGATTCTTCAGCCTGGGAAGGAAAACTGAGTCACTTTGTAGAGACTGAGGACAGTTAGAATGGAAATGACCCCTCAGCAGACAAGGGATCCCCAGCAGGGCTCCTGGATCCACCTGAAAGGCACCCTAAAGAACAGAAGGGCTTAAAAGGGAAATTAAGGTGATTAAGAGGACTGTCCTCTTTATGTGACCCTGCTCCATCCGGTGAGGGTTGATGGGAAGAAATGTCACCACAGATTTCCAGGAAATTCAGCTTTTCATCCCACTACAGTTGATCACATTCTTTTATATAGAATCATATCATGGAATCCTGGAATGGTTTGTGTGGGAAGGGAATTTAAAGCCCATCTCATCCCATCCCCTGCCACGGGCAGGGACACCTTCCACCAGCCCAGGCTGCTCCAAGCCCCATCCAACCTGGCCTTGGACACTCCCAGGGATCCAGAGGCAGCCTCACCTTCTCTGGGAATTCCATCCCAGCCCCTCCCCACCCTCCCAGCCAGGAATTCCTTCCCAATCTCCCATCTCTCCCTGCCCTCTGGCAGTGGGAAGCCATTCCCTGTGTCCTGTCCCTCCATCCCTTGTCCCCAGTCCCTCTCCAGCTCTCCTGGAGCCCCTTTAGGCCCTGCAAGGGGCTCTCAGGTCTCCCTGGATCCTTCTCTTCTCCAGGTGAGCATTCCCAGCTCTCCCAGCCTTTCCTCCCAGGAGAACTGCTCCATCCCTCCAATTATCTCATGACCCTCCAGCAAGCCTTGTGTTGGTCATTGTGGTGGGTGAATGACCATCACAGTCATTCAAAGGAAGTTTTCCTTAATCCCAAAGTCCCTGAGCACAGGAGAGAGGAAGGACCTTCCCTTTCACAGAAGGACACGGATTCTGGAGAGACCTCAGTGCCCCAAGGGCTCATGTGAGCACTCAAATCAAGGGTGAGGTAAATGCACAACCCAAAACTGAGAGATAAAAAAGAACTCCAAGTACTTACAGCCACTGCTATCCTTCCCAGGACGTGCTCTGGAATTTTTCTATAAACATCCAAAGAACCCCCTGCAGGGACAAACAACACGTGCTCAGGTAATGCAAAACGAAACACTGCCCTAGATTTGAAGCCCTAAGGGTTTTCTAGGCCTTGGTTATTAATAAAAACACCGTCAGTGATAGAACAATAACTGTGTCAGAAATAAGTGACCTTAAAAAAATCCCCCAAATTCTGAATAAACACATGAAACGGCTCTCGGGGCTCTTTTCCCCCCTTTAATGCTCCAAACACAAGTTAAAAAAGATCAGGAAAGCTCCCATCACAGGTCAGAACATCCAAACTGGAGAACTCCAAAACCACCAGGCTGGGAGAAACTCCTTGGGAATAACCAAATCATCCCAAAAAGCAACAGTCGACTTCAAATTCCAGAGTGTCCCAATCCTTGTGTTCCCAGAACCCGGTGCTAACATTCCAGGATACCCAATATGATCATTATATACATAATTCAAGCTGCTTTCTCCAGGTATCAAACCAGGGAGGGTTTCTGGTTGATGTCTGAAAATGAAAGAACCTTCAAGGCAAGCAGGTCAAACTCCAGTAAATTCCAGTATGGGACACAATCCGGTATCTGGGATAACTTGTCCTTCCAGCATCACACATTCATGGAGACATCAAGAAGCCCCATTCCCTTTAACTTAACAGCCCTACAGACATTCCCAAGGGATTGGGAAGCATTTTCTCCCTTCTCTTTTACCCTGTCCCTGGGGTAAAACACAAACTCTTGGGCAAGAAAGTAAACTGAAAATTGAGAATTAAACATCTCCAAGTAGAATGGAAAAAAAAATACTTGATTCAGTTTTCAAAAATAAACCCTGTTTGTCCCAAAATGCTGCAATTCAAAGAAGTCACAAGGTCCTTATTCCAGTCTTCAGCCTCAATTATGGAATAAATCAGAATTATGGTATAATTGTCATTCTAATACCTGGGGTTGGTGGTGGTGGTGGGTGGTTTTCCTCCTCCTCACCTGTACTGTCAGAAATAGTCTGTTTGTTTGTCTTCACTAATGCTGCTCTGATTCCAGGTCATCCAAACCACCATTCATTCCCTAAATTTAACTTTCCAGCTTGTATTGCCCGTGGATTATAACAAATCCCAGTTTAAAAAGGAAATCCGAGTGCTCTTGAAGGGAAATAAGAGCAAAACACAAGGCTGCTGGTTCCTTTTCACCCTGACACCCCATCCTTAGATTTTGCACCCCCCAAAAAAGTCCTGTTTTAACCCCCCAAGCTGCTCAGCCTGGCTCTCAGACCTGGCACTAAAGGTGGTGCTGCTGGAAAAATTAATAAAAGCTGTTTTATAACAAACCAAGGGGGAAATCTGCCATCCTTCCATGGAGAAAGAATCCTGCAGGGGACAACTTTTCCAAATCCAATGATGCCAGAGATGCAGGGACAGCCTGATAAGCTGTTTTCCTGGGGAATTTAGCAGGTGTTCAGCACTCCCAAGGAAAAGAGGCAACAACATAAATAAAAGGCAAGAGGGCATTTCACCAGCTCTATTTAGAGCGTCAACTTTATCACAAATATAAAAGGGCAAAGACTAAAAGGCCTCATTTCACTTCTCTGCTGCTCTTTAAAACCAGTTGGTGGGAGGGTGATCCAGGTCACTTCATCCTCAGTGCTTTGATAGCTCCAAGACCTGGAGCTCCTCGGCTTTTTCCTGCTTGGAGGTGCCAGGGAAGCACCAAAACGGTCCTTTAGCCACGTGTGCCTCCCCAAAAGGACTCAGATCCACCTGTACCCAGGTCATCCATAAAGGAAATGCCTGTGATGTGGCCCAGGGTCATAGGATGTGGCTTCAAAAAATATTAACTGGCCTAGGACAGACAAAAGGGCTAAAAATTTGACAAGGTTAAAGCTGCTCATCTGCAGGATGAGAGAGCACTTTTTTTCCTTCTCTTTACCTGCATCCTTTGCATGGAAATTAAAGGGCTGAGGATGAGGGGAAATGAAAAGGCAAGGTCCATTTATTTGCATTTTGTTCTTCCTTTAACTGATTGCTGGGACTTTCTGCCAGAGGGAGAGCACAACATGAGGCAGAGCAGGTCATGTCCAGGAGAATTCCAAGGAACTGATGCACCATCCTGAGGGATGCAGACCCTAAAAGCTGAAATATATTTTCAAGCAAGAATTCAGACCTGCAAGCACTTCTGTCCATAACATTTCAATATATATCTGAATTAGAGGATCCTTGTGGGTCCCTTCCAGCTCAGAATATTCTGTGAAGGGAGAGAAAGGACGAACTCCAGGCAGATGCTCGTTTTGGCACGAGCAGATGGTTCCTCACTGTGTGTAACTACAGCTTTACACAGGCTTGTAAGTCTGAGTGGAACTGCAGGGGAGAGCAGAGAAAGGGCAAACAGTCACCCAGCAGCAGAACAGCAAAGAATTTGACTTGGGGGCTTTGATTTTGGACTAAAACACTGTTTTCAAAGACAAAAAAATCTGAGAGATTCTCATCCTGCTTGGAAACAGGGTGCAGCAACCACTGGGCTGGAGGCAGGGAGTGTAAAAAGGGAGAAATAACAGTAACAACAGTCCATTTGAACAGGGAGGGAACAAAATGCACCATAAAACCCTAAAGGGCTTTATCCAGAAAAGAAAGAAGCTGCTCAGTGCCGTTTGATGGCACACGTTTGGCTTGGGGAATTTTTCCCGGGGAGGGAAGGCTCTGTGGCAGGAAATGATGGGTGAGATCTCTCCCCCCTTTATTCCCAGCTTAAGTGAACCTTGGTGAAAAACCTGGGTGGGGCATAAAATGCTGGCTCCTAAGAAAATCCTGGAGAGAGGAACAGCCCGTTGCTGGTGATGGGAAGAGCTGGAAGCTGTGAAGAGGCTTCTCGAGCACGAGACACGCAGGGACAGCATCTGCCACGAGATGCTCTCAGAACTCACTCATTCAGACCAGCAAGGATTATGGATTGCTGTTCTCTGTGGGTTTTCCCTGCCTTTTCTCCAAGAATTCCCAAGGTTCCCAAGCCAAGAGCTGCCACAGCTCTGCACCAACAGTGAGGTCGGGCTGGGGGGACGGGGTCGCTCTCGGTCCGAGGGTTCACGTGGGGAGGAACGGGAGGAGACTCAAAAAGAAAGTCAGCACAGAGCTGGCAAACAGCTGTGCTGGAAAATAACTCCTTGGCTCGCAATTAAGAGACTATTTCCACTGCAAACACACAGGACATTGGGTTAATAGATTTCTTTAAAAGAAAATCTGTTTTGGCTATCAAAACACTGGGAGTGAGGAACAGCTGTTTTGCCAGCGAGGACAGATTGGAAGGAAGGCTCCAATATCAACCCACAAATTAAGGCAGCATTTATTTCTCTTCTATTTACATTTTCAATAAAAGCAAGTTACACACGGGGAAAATGCAGCATTTCGTGGAGAATTCAGCACAATCCCAATCCCCTGTCCTGGTTTTTTAACTCCCTGCAAAGTTATTAACACTTCCCATTTTCCAGTCCTACCACTCCATTCTACAAAAGCACGTCTTCATATAATTTTCCCATTTAAATTCTTAGCAATCAAAAGCAAACTAAATACACAACTCACCATCCATGAACTCTGTACACAATGAAATCCTGTTTTCTACAAAAAAAGCACCATAAAATCCTATGATATACGATGAGTCACACTGGGAAAAGAAAGAAAAAAGAGAGAAGTTCTGTTTGAAAATTTGCTGCAAGAAAACGAAAGAAGGAGTGATGAAAATTATAAAAAACTTGTATATATACCTTATAAAGAATTTCTAACTCTGACATGATCTGCTTCTGGAGTTCCAGTGTTATATCTAAGGGGATGACCTAAAACACGAGAACACAGAGATATGATCAGAGTTGCCACAAAAAGTACAAGGAGGATTCAAAACAAGCAACTGAAGATCCACACATTAATTCTCCTGATGTGAGAAAAGGAAAGAGAGGAACAGGGGAGAGAAGATTTTAATGAGCAACGAGCAAAGGAAGGAAATGAAAGGATGGGCTGATAATCCTGGGCTAAAACACCAAGCATTGGAGCCCAAGTGGGCTGAGCTGCCTGGAGTTGTAAATTCTCAGGATTTTCAGGACAGATCCTCTTAAAAAGGCACTGAAAGTCCAATTTAACAAACAATTCACTGCCATGATCCTTGCACACTCAATTATTGAGCACAACTTCACAAACCAAACTGGACTCCCAACGCCTTAAACCAGGCCCAGGCTCCACCCCCACAGTGTTTCCCAGTTTCATATTTTAAGCTGAAGGGAAGCAGAATTCAGTCAATCTGCAGAATTAGCAGAGCAGATATCCCAGGCTGAATATTCTGCTGACAGCCCAGAACTCTGGGAGCCCATTTCCAAACACGTTTTGCAGCACCGAAATCTGTCTGCAAGAAAAACCAATAACCTGCTTCTATGCAGAGTTTGCTTTGGGCTTATTTATAAAAGCTGCCACTAAAGTAAATTGTAAGTGTAATACAGGGCTGCCAAGAAACCTTTAACACACTTGTCCAGATCAATAATCATTTGCCAACAATATTCACTTACCTTTTTTTCTTTTTTTTTCCAGTGTGGAAAAAACTTGAAAATATTTGGCTGGGATGCCATTAGTTCTGTTCATTGAATATCACCAGAATTTCCCCTTGTCAATAGCATAGAATTCAAGTTTTATCTCACTAAATTCTACTCCCAGTGAGACATTTCTCTGAGTTGTCCATGGTAAAAGGCCTCCCTGACCCCAGCAAGGACTGGTTGGCATGATCAGCACCAAATCCATCCTTGACACCCCATCAGCCAGGCCCTGGCCCGAGGAAAGGTCCTGGGCTGATCTGCTTTAATTCTAATTACATTCTAATAGTGAGGATAACCTGGAAAAAAAGAGCTTCCCAACTTCCAGGTGGGTCAGAACACCACAGGCAATGCACATCCAGAGGAATGGCAAGGATGTGTCACCCCAAAATAAATTAGGAGAGATCAGAGTCTCACTCTGTGCTGTACAGAAGTGTTTTCTTCCACCTGAACACGTGTGGCTGATGTCAAGGCTGGAGGAACATCGTGGATCTTGTGGAATCCATGATGTTCCTCATCAAGCTCCCTCTTCCCCATCAAGTTTTTGCCCAAATGTCCCCATTTTGAGCTCCCTTTGCTCGCTCAGACTGCAGGTGAACTCCCCCTTCCCAGAGCAAAGGGTTAATCTTCCCGAGGAGCACCTGAGCACATTGCCTCTGCTCCCCACTACACCTCCAGGACAAATAAGGATGAGTTGTCAAGTTAAATACAAGCAGTCAAGTGACTGAATTATAATTTACTCCGTGCTCAATTTAAATTAGTGTGAGGCTATTAAAATATACAGTATAAATACAGCAATTCATCACAAGCTGTCATGGATGACTTCAGCTATTTGCTGGAGTGGCACACGCTGCACTGAAGGGAACCAGAGCCAAATCACAGGTCAAATTAAGCTGCTATTCTGCTTTAATTCCCTTCTTTAATCTGTGGTGACATAATTGTCTTTTACAGTACGTACAACTGCGAGGAAATTCGGGAGTGTCACAGGCAGTGCACAAATGATTAATCAAATGGTCCATTGAAATGCCGGGTTCGGAGCAGGGGAAGCAAAAATGCTCTTCACCTGGATTTTACCCTTCAATTGGGAGAAAGTTACCTTTGGAAAAGCCATTAAATCCTCCACACAAAATACTTAGTTTGGTCCACAACAGAGGTGTTGTGTGTTCTGTTTGTTTGTTTTCCTGTCTGATGGATTTGTGAGATCATCCACCTGCTGAAAGCATTTCAATCAACAGGTTCTTGGAATGTTATCCTCTCCTATCAACCCCTTCTATTATCATTTTAAAAAAAGTCCCAACAGTGCAGAATTCTGCTTTCACAGACCCACCCAGTGGTGCTCCTATCCTGGGAATCCTCTGTCAAAACACTGGATCCATGTGATGATCATTCCAAGCAGTTGGAATTATCATCCTCTTTTACTGCTGGTTAAGCCAAGATAGAAGTAATTTAAGGAATTACTTTATCAAATTATATACAATTATAATTATATATATAATATATATAATGTATAATATATTATAAACTATATATAATGTAAATTATATAAAACACATATAATATACAGTTATATGTAATATATAAATATATATATAATATACAAATAAATCTCTCTCTATATATAAAGTATTTGGGTAATTTTTTCAATAGCAACTTGACACAATCACCATCAGAGCAGGTTTCTCTCCAGCTCATGAGCTTATTTTATTAACTATATATATTTATAACACATATATATGTTATATGATATATTATTTATATTATATTTATAACATATATATTGTATATATTGAAACTATATATATTTATAACCCATGTATAGATTTAATACCTCTCAGAAATCACACCAAATAAAACATAATTGACAGTGACAGGCCCAGCAGGAGCAGAACCTACAAGAAAACCCCGTTTCCCAAATCTCCAGGATGCTCATTATCCACCAGGAATACCCAAACCCATGGACTCGAAGGGAAAAAGGAGGTGAAACTGCTGAAAAAAGGTGGTTTGTTTTTGCCACGGGGAGGTGATTTCAATTAACCTTGCAAAGGTTGAACTCGCTGCCCTTCCTGCCTGGGGGAATTCCCTGGATTTCCTGCTGCTCCACCTCCTCTCCAGGCAGCTTCCCAGGGCATCCCCAGGCCTGGAAAACTCATTTGAGGAAGCACTGGAGAAGGGACCAGGGAAAAGCAGCTTCCCCACACAAGCCCAGACCCAGGAAGAGCTTTTCCCTGCAGGAAAAAAACCTGGATTTTGGGCATCTGTGCTCATTTGGAACGACTAAAATGGAGGTTTTCCTGCATAAACAATGTGGATTTTAATACAATTAACCAAACTGAGATCCCACCATCAGAAGGAAGGTCAGGAAAGACTGGACAGAAAAGAAAATTGCTGGAATTTCTTACCTTTACTGCCAGTATTTTTCCACTGCGGACATGGTATGCCCTGTGTGAGGGGAAAAAACATGAAATTAATTTTAAATAACTCAATAAATAAAATAAAAATTCAAGACAATGAAATCATTTTAGATCACATACAACTCCCTCTATACATTTGTGCATCTGATTTCACAGAAACACGACCTGGAGCTCAGATGTTTTATGGGAAGCTGATTTTATGCAGCATTTCTCATGGAAAAGTGGGGAAAACAAGTGATTAAAAGGATGTATTTTTACAATTAAATATTTATCAGGGTTTGCATCTGCATGTTTGACATAAAATAAACACATTGAAGATTTTGATACACAAGAATATCAGACTTTAAATGGGAATTTCACAGAATCTCAGGATCATTCAGGTTGGAAAAGACCTCCAAGATCATCAAGCCCAACCTTAAATCTTGGAGTGCAACCTGGAATTTATCCCCTTGCCCATTTTCTTTCAATGAAATCAATTAGGAAATAACCATTATTCAGAATTTCCACGGAAAATAAGGTTTATCTCCCAAATCTGCCAGTCCTGTGGGTGTTTTCAGTGGGCAGACAGTGAGACACTTGAATATAAACACTCAAGGGAATTAAAAGAGGTTATGACCAATTCTTTATCATCAGATAAATACCCCCAGAGAATAATCAGCAAAAATAAATTCCTGTGTTGCTATTTAAGATCAGTGTTGCCACACAAAGTTAGAAAGAATTATTGTTAATGTTCACAGGGACCCCAAAATAATTTTCCAGAGTATTTCAACAGCAGTTTGTCCTAATTTCTTGTGGACAAACATTTACAGTTGGCTATTTAACAATGCCCTGCCTACTCCTACCCATGAACAAGTAAGAAAATAAAAGCAGGTGAAAAAAAAAAACAACAAACCCTATTCAAAATCCAATGTAATTTTGCATAAAAACAAAACCATTAAAGGTTTTCCTCTTCACTAGTTTTACTGTCTCATACTGATTTATGGCACCACACTCCACGATGTCATACATGTGGCACTAACTTTAAAGAATTGCAATATTTCACCACTCCATACCTCTAGCAATTATTACTGAAGAAGAAAAGCTTTAATGGTCGGGTTTTTTCATGCAAAAATCACACCCAGACAGGGGGAAGTTGTTGTTTAATCTTATTTATAACCCCGAGCGCTCCTATAATTCCCGTTAATAGCTCGGAAGTTTCTCAAAACTTCCCCTTAATTTAATAACTCCTGGAAAGAGCATTTACGTGGCATCAGCTTTTAGGAACAAACAGGAGTTTAATACATAAATAAATAAATAAATAAAATCAGTGTGATTTAATATCAGCACGGGAAGGAGGATCATCCGTGGGAGCTCTGGCAGAGCAGGAGGCGGATGAATAATCCATGAATCCATGAACTCGCTGCAAGTAGGGACGAATCAGGAGAGGCAAAACAGAGGAGCAGGAACAGGTTGAGAGGAGATGCCCAACATCTGCTGGCTGAGCAGGGCCCACACGGGCCAGTTGGGCAACTTAATGAGGCTGCCAGGAAAGCTGAGCCTTTTTCCATGGGAGGCATCTCCCGTTTCCAGGAGAATGAAAAGGGGAGACTCGATGATTTAATTATGATGCACGCCAATTCATCCGTGGAGGTTTGGGTTGAGTTTCCAGCAGAGGGCAGATACCTGGGTTGGTTTACAGAGCACTGACAGCACCAATTTAACATTTAATTACGGCTGGGAATTGGATCACAAAAGGGACACCAGGCCCGCGGATGGCTCGGAAAGGCCATGGGGCCGGGAATTTGTTTACTCCGGGCATCTCCACTGTCCTGCCCTTCCCCAGCACAAGAACTGCAGAGTGATTAATGAAGCTGGAACGGGAGCTTTGGTTACACCAAAAGACAACCCTACACCTCTGCAGTGTTTTAATTAACAGCCAACCCTTCAAACGAGGCTGTAGTTGCTACAGTAATTACCTGTCCCACTGAGTGGGGAGGGAAAAGGGGGTTTTGTTGGATATTAAGTAGAACTGGAAGTTGGGGTTGATCGTTTTGGTTCCAGTCAGCAGCAAGAAGGGCCTGAAGATTCTGTACCTTTTATGAAGCTTTTGAAGGACGCACTAAAAAAATATCCCATGGAATAACGTGCACAGCAGGGAGAAACCCACGATTTTGGTGCATCCCACACCCCTGAGGAAATTTATGGATGTCTGTGAGGAGATTAAACCAATATCCACATCCTAAAAGTCTCATCTCAAGGATCAACTCTCCCAGATTTCGGTGCCACCTCCAAAAGCAAGCGAACAAATTCATCACTGTGGAATAACAGGAAGAAAAGGAGCAAAATTCTAAAGGTTCCTCAGCAACTTGGAAAATTCCAGTGAACACATTTAAAAATCTTCCAGGACAGGCAGGAAAATGCCTAAAAAAAACAGCTGCAACAGCAACAACTCTTGCTGGGGATGAGTTTCAGTGAAGTGGATGTTAAAGAGGAGGGAAAACAGTTGCTAAATCGCTGCAGAGCTGCTCAAAAACAAACATAAAGAGCAGAAATGAAATGCCTGGAAATGAGAAATATTCAAGGAAAACATCGTTTCGGGGTTGGCAAAATTTAATCCCTCGACAAACCAGCTCTGAGGAAACAAATCCCTTCTCCTGCTCTTTGTTTGGTGGGGTTTGGTTTCGGTTTGCTTAAAAATCTCACATGTTCCAGTAAAAAGCTGTAAGAGGTGACTGAGAATAGGTGGCTGTAAATCATCTGTTGTTAAGGGGAAATCGGAGACACCTCAGAGAGAGCCAAATTCTGCAACCAGAGGATTAAAAAGCAATTTTGAATACTTGATGCCAGCGCCAAATATTAAAAATAGAGAAAAGCTACTTCAGTTTTGCAGGAATTTTACAAACACCACGGATGGCAAGCTCCAAACATTGCTACAAATAAAGGAATATATTCTTATGCAGAGCCCGATCCCAATCCCACTCAGGTTAGTGGGGGGATTGTACCTACCACAAATTTGATGTTTTATTAGTTTAAATGCAAATTTATAGACACTTTATGAGATTAATAATCACCACAACAACTTCCTCCCATAATAAAAATAATTTAAATATACATTTTAAGATAATGACATAGTATTTACTAAAATAGTAGGAAAATTAACACAACAGCAACAGGAAATTCAGTTGGTGCCCAATTTCTGCATGTGAAGAAACTGTAACTCCAATATTCTGCACTGAACTATTTTAAAAAAATTTATTTTATTTAAAAAGAGGCAGTTCTTAGCTGTTGTAGGCAGAGCATTGTTGAGGCTGAGGATAATGACTAAAGCCATTAAAAAAAAGGGGCAAAGTTCAGGGATACCTTTTGGGATCCCAGTCTTAAAAGACAATGAATTCTTTTCAAATTCCCCAAAGTCTGACTGCAAAAAGGGCATCTGCAAAAAGTTACAGATAAAATCTCTATATAAAAACAGAGATATAGATATAAATATGTATCTTTAACTGATCAGCAATGACAGCTACAAAGTGAACAGGAGCTGCTGTTGAATTAAAACCAAGTTTTCAATAACTCAGACTGGTAACTCCCCTAACAAAGTTTTTACAGGTCTCATAAAAGAAAGAAGATATTTTCAGGGAGGATGGAGGAAAGAAAGCAGCAACTTTCAGACCTCCTCAGGAAAACAAAAATATTCCACCAACAGAGGCAGTGGGGTAGAAAACAGTGCATGAGTTTCAAAAAAAAAAGAGTGGAAAAGAGGAGGAAAAAAATTGGGAGAAGTTGAGTCCAAGCTGGCCTGGGAAGCTTCCCTGGGGTAAGTTGTCCCTGTGCACACACAGGGCTTGTCCCAGCGCTGTCACACGATGTGTGGGGACAGCCCAGGCTCAAACATTCCCACTGGGGAGCAGAAATGGAAACCCCTTCCTCCCCATTCCCACTGGAGCTGATTATTCCCAGCCCCCACATCCAACGAGCAGCTTCCAAGCAGGACTGGCACGGCTGTGTCAGAGATTTTATTAACCTTGCTATCAACCCTCTCCCCAGACATTCCGAGCCCTGAAGGGACACTCAGGAGCCAAATCCTTCAGCACAACTTTGTCTTCCCCCCTCTGGGAGTGCAGAGAGTCCCTCAGGTAGGTGCTGTGGCCAAAAACTGGGTTATTTTGGGGAATAAATAAGAAATAGGGTGTGTGAGCAAGCACTGACTGAACAAAGCCCTCCAGCTAAGCCAGAGAAACTCGTGATGGACCACAGAGTATGGAATGAGCATCCCTCGTGTCCCAGAAAATCAAAATCAATAGCAGGGAAAACTAGAATAGGGCTTTGGGGGAACTGTCAACTCCTCAGCATCTCCCCCCTCACCCCACACAAGATGTGTTTCCACAGGAAAGCAAATTAAGAACTGAAAGCATCAGAAGTAGCTGGATTCAGGTTTAAAAAAGAGAGGGGAGAAAAAGGGAACTGAAATGCACTTTGTTTTCTTCCTGAGGTAAAGAAAAGCAAGAAGGAGGAAATGCCAGATGGCTCAAACCTCAACCATCCTGATATTTAATGCTAAAATCTTCATACACTGCATATGAGGAGTTTCTTCTCACTCAGCTCAGAAGGAAAACAAACCCGACCAGAGAGAACACACACAAGATTGTTCATCAACAGCTCAGATGGCAATCAACAAATTTCTCCCTCTCTCAACAATTCTATATCCTCCCTGGGAGGAATTTTACCTAAAGAAAGCCCAGGATGCTGTGATTGTGGGATCATTCCTTGCAGGGCAAGCAAAGAACTGACTTCAGGTTCAACACACAGACACCCAAGAGAAACAGCAATTTTCTATTTGTTCCCTAATTTTTAGCTGCAGAGCATTTGCCCACATTTGAGTGACTTCACAATGGTCACACCACAAGCACAGAGCATGCAAAGACCCCCCAGCTTTTCCCACCATACACAATAACTTTTTACTACAAACCGAGTTTACTATTCCATTAAAACTCAAAATAAATGTATTCCCTACCTAGAAACCAAAATTCCTTACAATTATTCCCTCATGCTGAT